GGCAGGGGACTGGACTCGATGACCTCTCGAGGTCCCTTCCAGTCCTAGAATCTATGAATCTATGAAATATGTTACAGCAGTACATGAAATTGCATATAATGACTGAAGGGCTAGATCCACAAAGAGGACTTGGGCATTGCAATGCTCAGTCTAACATTTAGGCACCTTGCCATCTAGTGGAAGCCACAGCCCCAAGTCAGGCGTCCACTCTCCTTGTACAAGACATGAGGAGTGTTAAGCACCTAAGAATGGGACCCATAAAAGCCAGCCAGATGAGTAGGTAGCTGCCTAATGTAGCCAGTAGGAAATGCCAAAGAAAAGGGTATAACCTAAGTCAGTGGTGGGCAACTGGCTGCATGCAGCCTGTCAGGGTAATCCGCTGGTGGGCCGCCAGTTTGTTTACATTTGCATGGTCGCCTGCAGCACCCCAGTGGCCGTGGTTTGCCGTTCCCGGACAATGGGAACTGTGGGAAGCGATGTGGGCCACAGGGACGTGCTGGCCACTGCTTCCCGCAGCTCCCATTGGCTAGGAATGGTGAACCATGGCCACTGGGAGCTGTGGGCAGCCGTGCAAATGTAAACAAACTGTCTGGCGGCCCACCAGCGGATTACCCTGACGGGCTGCGTGTGGCTGGCAGGTTGCCCACACTGGCCTAAGTCCTGCCCCTTAAAGGGACCTAGATGCCTGAGTCTGGGCCAGAGGGAGAGTCCTTCTCTGCTCTTGATTCACAGCTCTGAACCCTCTCTTGGAGTTAAGGGCATAAGTCCTTTGTTGCAATAAAGCAACAACCACAATGAGAGGAAAGATGGTGGTCCCCCCCTCCCCACTTCTTATAACCTCATGCAGCTGTGTGCATGCTGAGTGGCAGAAATTTAGGTGCCTGGGGATTTTAGGTGCCTACAGGGTGAAACAGCTGAGCAGAGATTTTGAGGATTTAAAATTTTGAGTTGGGTGTCTAAAGTGGCAGGTAAGCACCTAAATCCCTTTTGTGGATCTAGCCCAAAGCTGAGATGTATAGTGGGAAACTACTGTCCTGTCCATTGTAATGATGAACCGTAGAGTTTGTGGCCTTGGACACTGAGGGAGAGAATACATTTGTGGCTAAGGTGCAGGACTAGGAGTCAGCACGTGGGTCCTGTTCCCAGGGTGTTTCTATATTACTCCGGCAATGAAGTTAACCTCTTTTTGCCTGATCTTACTCATTAGTACTATGCAGATGATACTCAAAAATCTGAAATAGTATTGTGAGGAAAAATTTATTAACATAAGAGCGCAGAATGTAGTACTGCCCAGTGGAGGTAACTTTTGAACCCAAAACCTACATACTGTTTCCTATATACAGAAAAACCTCCAGTCTCTCTCTCTCTTTTTTTTTTTTTACACCTGTCGTTTGCATAAACTTCTGTATTGTGAACTAATTGGTCCTGTAACCCTTTAACAGAACTTCAGCAGTACTGTAGTATTAACAACCATCTACATCACATTAGTTTAAGTGAAGTATTTCCTCAACTCATAGTGTCAGCTCACCTTTACTTTAAGAGTAATTATTACTATTTGTAATACAATAGTGCCTAGAGTCTCCTGCTGAAAGCGGGGACTCATTGTGCTAGTACTATGTACTTCTACATAGAGACAATTCCTGTCCCAAAGAGCTTCCAATCTAAACAGCCAAGACAGACAAAATGTGGGAGAAGACATGTAGTTATTCCCATGTTACAGATAGGAACAGTGTGTCAGGAATACTCAGAATATTGCTGAGTTTATCACCTGGTGCTTCAGGCTGTGCTTGAAGTATTTTAATTCATTTATTTCTATGCCATATTCACCTTCCTTACACTTTGGGTTCATATGACACAATGTCAAATAAACCTAAAAATCAAACATTGCTCTATGTGAAAATGTAGAAAAATGTGTTAAATGAAGGGCCTTTTCACCCTGAATATGGTGAAGCATCAGGTATCCTCTGCTGAAGTGTCTGTGTTAGGATGCAGGATCATGTCACCCCACCTCTCAGACACCAATTTTAAACCGATATTGACCATCACAAGAGTAATCCTGCAAAACTACTTTGGGCTACATACCTCTGTGTCAGCCAACTAACAGAGGGCACAACTCAGTAGACTTCAAGGAGTTGTGACTGCTTATGCTGCTGATGTATTTGAAACATTGTTCAGAGACTTACCAATGTCTTCACCTGGGTCTGACAGGCCTCCTGGAAATTTCCATGCATTTGTAGTCTATAATGGAGCAGAAATATTAGCAAGGTATACAATCTGTTTTGTTCTCCTAATACAAAAGGACAAAATGATTCCTCTAGAATTCCTAATCACCCTAATAGGTACGTGAATTTTTTAAAGGTGGTGACATGTTAATTACTTCTATAATTATCAGTTAAGATTTAAATAGAACTTCTGTTTTTGCTAATGTGATCAGACAGTTACCTGTCTACATGAAATATTGGAAGAAAACATCTACTGATTGAAAATATAAACTGTCTAACAGTCATTAGACAAAGTTGCTGCTAGTTAACTAGTTAAAAGAAGTAGTTGGACATGAAAGAAGCTGCTACAGATATAGACTGTATAATCTTATATTTAATCACTAATGTATTCTACTTCAGTGGTTTTTTGGCTTTTTAAAAATAACTGTACATACTTAATCTTCAAATAGATATTATGATTGTAGTATTGTTCTATACTGCACTGGCTTTAAAGTGATTTAGTGTCTGTAATAACCATGAAGTGTAACTTGTCATTTGTTTTCATGGAGTAGAAAAATAAAATCAAGACTTTTGTGTCTGACCTCTATACAAAATCATTTATTGAAATTCAGCAGAATCAAGTTGAATAATTAGCAGCCTTGGCATTGTAACTGCAACCAATAAACATGGACAAGATCCTGCAGTTGTTGTATTAGGTCCTATACGTTTTTTTTTAAACTAATTGCAGTTAAAAAATGTTACCAGACTGACAATCTACTGAGATTAATGTAGAAAAAAATTAAATTATCCTGGGGGAGGAAAGGGTATTTTTTCTTGGAGTGCAAAGCAACTATGTACTTCCCATTGATTTATATTCGAAAACATTATCTCTGGGCTCTCCTTAAGAGCTTGGACAAAAGTTTAGAATAATAATAAAAACTGTAGATAGACAATGCATATATGGCCACTGGCATTCAGATTTTGTTTTCTGTGCCTGGAAATCTTTTATTGTATAATTGTCCTCATTCATGACACCACACAATGAGCTCTTAAACTATTTTGAGATCGCAGCATGCAGTATACATCATCACATAAATGTGCTCAGGTGATTTTTCAAACTTTGAAAATATCAACTTATTGAAGTAAACTGGTCATCTTTGGGAAAATGTCATTTTTCTGGAAGGGGGCGGGGGAACAAAAACAAAAAACCTAAGAGCATAAGCCTGGCCACACTGGGTCAATGTTCCTGTATCCTGTCTTCTGACAATGGCTGGTGCCAGATGCTTCACAGGGAATGAACAGTAGTTATTCAGTGATCCTGTCATCCAATCCCACCTTCTTGCAGTCTGAGATGGAGACACCCAGAGCATAGGGTTGTGTCCCTAACCATCTTGGTGAACAGCCATTGCTGGACCTGTCCTCCATGAACATGTCTAGGTTTTGTTTTTTTTTAACCCTGTTATACTTTTTGGCCTGGCAATAAGTTCCACAGGTTGACTGTGCACTGTGTGAAATACTTCCTTATGTTTGTTTTTAAGTCTGCTACCTATTAATTTAATTAGGTGACCCCTGTTTTTTGTGTTATGTGAAGGGGTAAATAACACTCCCCCCCGATGCCATTCATGATTTTATAGATGTCTATCATATCCTTCCTTAGTAGTCTCTATTCTAAGCAGAACAGTCCTAGTCTTTTAAATTTCTCCTCCCATGGAAGCTGTTCCATACCCCTAATTATTTTTGTTGCCCTTTTTCTGTACATTTTCCAATTCTAATTTATCTTCTTTGAGATGGGGTGACCAGAACTGCACACACTATTCAAGGTGTGGGCACACCATAGATTTATACAGTGGTATTGTAATTTCTGCTTTATTATATATCCCTTTCCTAATGGTGCCTAACATTGTATTAGCTTTTTTCACTGCAGCTGCACACTGAGCAGATGTTTTCCAAGAACTATCTATGATGACTCTAAGATCTCTTTTGAGTGGTAACCGCTAATTTAGACCCCATCATTTTGTATGTCTACTTGGGATTATGCTTTCCAATGTGTATTACTTTGCATTTATCAACATTGAATTTCCTCTGCCATATTGTTGCCCAGTCACCCAGTTTTGTGAGATCCCTTTGTAACTCTTAACAGTCAGCTTTGGAGTTAACTATCTTGAGTAATTGTGTATCGTCTGCAAACTTTGCCACCTCACTGTTTACCCCATTTTCCAGACCACATATGAATGCTGAACAGCATAGGTCCCAGTACAGATCCCTGGGGGACCCCGCTATTTACCTCTTCACTCTGAAAACGGACCATTTAGTCCTACCCTATATTTCCTATCTTTTAACCTTACTTTGCTTAAGAGCCTTTGATGTGGGACCTGGTCAAAATCTTTGCGAAAGTCCAAGTGCACTATCTCAGCTGAATCACCCTTGTAAACGTGCTTGTCGACACCCACAAGGAATTCCAATAGATTGGTGAAGCATGAGTTCCCTTTACAAAGGCTGTGTTCCCTACTTGATAGGTAAACAATTTCTTGGTCTAATTTACTTTTGTTTAGATTTTCAATGACAATGGACATTATTAACTTCAGCTCCTGTATTTAGTGTTATGCTCTTAGTAAAAACTGTTTTCCCCCTTGCTTCCCCCATTTTTTTTTCTTCCTCACTGGTTGCATATCATGTCAGTCTTATTCTGGCAAAGAGAGCTGGATGTAGGTGGCCCTGGATTCTGCCAATTCCATGTTGCGTCACCTGAGAATGAGTTGTTGTAGAGTGATACAAAGTTCACCCCTCTCCGTTTAAAGTTCAACATTCTGCCCTGATAGCATCCCCTACCTTTTGTTGGGCCAGGGATAGAAGAAAATGACCGTTTTGGTCCCAAGGTTTGACACCATGTGCAGCAATGTTTTGTGCAGCCTCCGAGAAGAAGACTAGCTCAAGTTTTTTGTACTGAAGGGTGGCTGAGGCAGGAAGTCAAACTTTGAAATGTACAATTTTTTTTGAGAACTTTAGGAACCAATTTCTTTTTCTCCATCACAAATGTAAAGGAGGTATAGTTCTTCGGTTGGTGGTGGGTTTGTTTTTTTTTTTTTTTTTAGATTTG